AGACAGACAGACAGACAGACAGACAGACAGACAGACAGACAGACAGACAGACAGACAGACAGACATTACCTCCTTGGCGGAGGTAAAAATAACAATCCCTCTCTAGCAGCTGGTGTCTGTGCCAGGCTGAATGTAAGACAGCGACTGCACCATGAATACTGATGAATCAAACTCTTATGTATTTGTCTTCGTGGCTACACCCTTGGAGGCGGTACCTTTTATGTCAGATGTTAAAACACGACAAACTTTGTTATGAAGACAGAACGGAGCACATTCATAAGACTCTGATTCTGTTCCTCTGTTTAAACCATATGGCTGCAATGAACAGAAAGCATAAAATAGCACAAAATTTTCTTGAGTAGATTCCTTCCATCGGTCAGGGACACAACTGGGGTCCAGAAGCAGCTGAACCAGTCTGGTGAGAACTCCACCCAGCTGAAGGTCCGGTCCTTCACCATCCTCCCCCTGAGCCTGTCCAGGATGGAGGGAGCCCAGAGGTGAACAGGTCCGTGATTAACGTGCTTTAATTAGTAAATTAAAGCTTTTTCTGAGTCATTATGCAAAATACACATCAAAGTACTTAAACTTTTTGTTTTTGAAACCTTTTGGAACAAGAGTGTGATCATAAATGTAGTTTAAAGAAAATGCAATTTTAGAAAAACTAATTAAAAGACAAAAAAAGCAAAACCTTTAAAATTCATAATGCCTTTATTTTGTAATTTACACACTGACATTACTCTGTGCTCCTCTATTATGTGTGACACTGCTTTTAAATCAGCATTTTACAAAAACGTTTTCCTGCAGAAAAATAGAAGTGACTTATACCAACATATACAAATGTGGCAACTTAAAACAACTGCCCTAAAATAGTACAGTAATTCAAGCATACAAAATGAGAAGGCAAATAGCAACCTCTTCATTATGTTATTTTAAAACCAGTAAAGAAGCTCATTGTTTGGGTAGAAAATAAACCCTGGTTTTGAAAAACTGCTTCACGATACATTTTACTCTAAACCAAAACTCAAATTTATCAAACCATAAACACAATTAACTGAAAATTAAAAAAGTTTTTATATTAAATATGACAAGTTGTATTATGTGCATAACCTGGTTCTGAGTTATGGATCTAAAGCTGGTGTAGAATCAAAAATTTGGCTCACAGGATTGATTAGTAGTTAAGAATAAAGATGCTTTGTGAACAAAAAGGCATTTCAGTTATCACTGCTGTCAGTACTCTGTTGTATTCTATGATTGTAGAGTACTCTAACATCATAGAGCTATATAAGACAGCAAGAGTACACACTGCTCACAAGAACTTGTGATTCTTTGTAGCAACGATGGCCATCAGCTGAGAGGGCAAACATCTGTACTGTGTTTTGGTAGCTACTGGCTAATACCCTGAGTAAAGGCAGACAATGTAAAAATAATAAAATGTATGTATATATATTTGTAATCAGGAGTGTGACGTATCGTTTGTCTCATGACATTAGAGCCTCCAGGCTGAAGCCCCTATGTTCGTCTTTTCCCCTCCTCATCACGACAGGAAGTGATGACAGACATGATGGCCTCCCTGGCACCAAGTGTTCTGGCTTGGGTCGGACACTCCAGTCCAGAGATTCTTAACCCATGGGAGCGCCACCTTGAGGGCCTCAAAAGAACAACAGTTTTTAACTTTGGGCCGCAGAGGGCCGTGAGACTGCATTGATTTTGAAAAAGGTGCAATACACTTTCTCACC